AAAAAAAAAACAATGAACGGAAGTTTTTCTTTATTTTTCCTGGTTAAACTGAAAACTGTGAAAAGCAAAATAGTGAAAAATGTTCATAAAGTTGAAAAATCTTGCACGGTTATTGTAGCAACACATGATGAAGTTGTTAGTTTGTTAGAAAAACTAATAAAAATCATTTTTCATTCATAAGTTTAGTGAAAAGTTGCGAGACTTCACTTTATTACCTTTCACAATTTCCAGCCATAATTTATTTAACAAAATTATATCTTTAACCTCTTTGGAATGAAGACATTTATTCTACGATTAATATCAGAGATGTCACAATATTTTCCCTCCCAGTCTAAGCCCTTTATGACAACGACTCTTGAGTCTCGCAAACTTCTTTCGAACATAAAGTGCAAGTCGGTAAATTCCACTCGTAGACGATCATAATTCAAAGAAAAGAACGAAGGAAGTTTGTGAGAATAAGAATTGGATTTTCCACTACATGAATTGTCTTAAATATTTACGAATGAAACGAAATTATTGATGGATCAAACAATCGGCCAACCATAAAGTGCAAAAACATGTTTCGGAGTCAATAAATTTCATTGCAGCAACGCCGTCAGAGTTCATTAATCAATCATAACATTTCAACCAAGTTTCGCCTGCCTCGAAGTCAGAAAGTAAGTGTGAGGGTGTCAATAATAATTAAGGCAGAAGTCAATGAATCAAAATGCAACCAAAATATGTCAATAAAAATAAATTTGCAAATTTTCGGCAACACGTGTGACAAATTTATGAATTGAACAGACGATGACGACATTATTGCAATGTTCACTTAATTCAATATCTGAAAGTGTTGAGAATGGGAACGGGAATTACCTAAACCGCTACCACCCCCACTTCCACCCCACCCACATCGCTTTCTTTTGATATTCATGAGAGAAAACTATTTTATTATGTAAATAGCAAATCCAGGTTCTTGTCAATCTCACTCGACTTACTTTACATTTTCCGAATGAATATTTAATCCTCAAGGTTTGTCATTCAAATTTCAAATTACAAAACAACAAAAAATGATGAGATGGAAAGTTTTTTGGGATTGTTTGGGATTCAGAAGGCTAATTGAATTTTCATATCCGAATGCGAATCGAGAAAAAAGTGAATTCAGGTTGAAAACGTGGAGTGAGTTGAAAGGTTGAAGCACTAATAAAAGTTTAAAGTCGATGAATTTTATAATCGCAGTTTGGACGATAAAAAGCGCAATCGATCAACAGAGAAATATTTTTGCGTTTTGAGCTTATTGAAAAATTGCTGTGCGATTTGTCATTGAAAGGAGGATAAGAGAAGTGAGATGCGATAATCCATCTTCACTAAAGTCAACCTAAGTCATCGTCATGAGGAAGGATGAAAAAATGGAAGAAATGGAAGGCATCTGTGACATGAATACTGATAAGACAGAAACAAATTTCCTCGTTTCAAATCTGCTCAGAAATTTGAGAATATTTTTGAAGCATCTTCAACCATTGGCGTTTATCTTAAAGCCTCTTAAAGTCTTCTTGAAATCCTCATTCGATGAGTCGCGACATTTAAACTTTACGACTGAATTAAAAATTGATAAAAAGGTGTCGATAAGAACGTGACGATAAAAGATAATGTTTTATGCCTCCCACGACAATAATTCGTCACGCTCTAAATATCGATGAAATAAATCTCAGAACAACGGCGATGTTGATGAGCAAATGATTTACTTCAAGTAGTAAAGTTTAAAATGCTTCTCGATATTAAAAAATGAAGAAAGCGCCTTAAGTCATAAAAAATGATGAAAAGCTATTAGCATAAATTCTTCTTCGTTTTTTTTTCTTTTCGCCGCGTGTCGTAAAAATGTGAAGAAATTTTTATAAATATGATATGACAGTGTTGTTGACGACATGATTTCGTTCTTGCCTTCGTCACGAACTGGTGTAAATATGTCGAATGTTAAATGAAAATGTTATAAAAAGTTTACAACGTTTGACATTTTTTTTTCAGCATCGCTGGTGTTTGAATTTCACGACATGCTTGAGATTTGCATAACTGATGGGTTTACGTAAATATAATTTTAAAAGTTTCCCTTCCACGTTTGAGGAAAATTGAAGAGGAAGGCAGAGAATCAGGTCAGCAGTTGGCGACAAAATCTTTGTCGTTTAATCGACCGCAACTTAACGATTTACCCTCAAATAATGTTCAAGCTTCATTAACTCGAAATTTCATGCAAAATATGAGACAACAAAGAATGAGACGAAAAATGTTGATACATAAACTTCTGTCCGAAGGGTTTGAGGACTTTTTAATGCCTTAGGATAAGTTTCAATGTTTGACTTTAACCAGCATTTTCGACTCTATTTGCCATTCAATTTCCTTCAATTGTGCAAAATGATTCAATTATGGTTTACATAGCATCGATTTTCGAGTTCATTTTTGTGAATGTCTGTTTGAATCTACAATTATCGATTAAATAATTTCAAATGCAAAAGGAAACGAGAAACTTTATGCAAATTCATGTTTATTTAATGTGTGCGTTATGCAAATGAAAAATTTTCAAGTGTTTAGTTGGGAAAAACTTTTCATAGAATCAGACAAGTGATCGAGTTGAAATGTTTAAAAATATTTCATTAAGTAACTCGATTTGTTCATGAATAATTCAGAAGTGTTCGAACAAAAATTTATCTGTCTGAGTTTCTTTATCAAATCAATCTCAAACTTATTCGAAACTTCCTGATTATGTCCACCAGCAATTTCTCTCCCCTTTTAAAGCAAGAAAAGAAAAAACTTAACAAGAGCTATTTAGGGAAAACATCAAAAATCTTTCGAAGTTGATCTGAGTTGAAAAAGATGAGGGAAGAAATAAGAAAGAAGAGACGGAAATGGGGGATTACAAACTTTATCATTTCCCTTTTTTTCCATGCGATCGCCCTTTGGCAACCCAAACGACAAATTGTAATTTACATCTTTATTTCGTGTGCAGAAAACTTCAACAAACTGTCCTTAAAATCCCATTAAAGTTGACAAAATTTTACCGCAGAGACGCATGGAAAGAGAGAAGAGAGGCTCGTAACACAACGAGAAGATAATTAACCGTGGGGCAAAAAGGCACTTTATGGATCAACAACATCATGTTAAGGGACATTTTTTACGTTTCATGTTACATTCAAATTTATTTGACAAAGTAATTTACTCTGAAAACATGTGCTACACTTTCCATGACGGTATCTAACAATCAACATTGAAACTCATGTCTTAGGAAGCTTTCAACAAAAGCTTTCTCGCCAAAATCAAGTTCAGCCATGACTTCGTTTAGCATGTCATCAAGAATGTTGTCAGATATTCTGTTGAAGAGATCATTAGTTAGTTAATTAATTAATGTCAATGACAAGTTTCTTATTTACTTTGCAAAAACCTTCCATGGCTCGCTAATAACTTTATTAACATAAAGTGGATCTTCACTCATTTGTCTTTTGTAGTCCAATCTTTCCTTCATTGCCTGCTCTTTAAACTCCTTCGTGAACTTTTCTTCTTCTGCTTTTTCAATTTTCTTTTTATCTTCAGAAGATTTTGGAATTTCTTTTGAAACATTTGACGATTGAACTTTTTTCTCACTTTTCGATTTCACAAAATGATATTGAACATTCTTATCGAAGTGTTGAATCTTTTCAGATTCCTTTGCGACTTCTTCATCTTCTTTTACTGGTGGAATTTTCTTTAAATTAAGATCTGACTTGACTCTCAACTTTGGTGGTTCATCTGAGTCTTCATTAAGTTCTTTAATACTTTTCAATGTTTCACTAATTCCATGAACATTCTCAACTGTAATTGGAGTTTCAAAACGAGATTCTTGTGTCATTTGTTTCGACATCATTTCAGAGAAAATCTTGGGTAAGATTGATCCAAACATCTCTTCAAATTTTTGCTTAGTGATGCCCTCCAACATTTCCAGGAGCTCTTTTTGTTTGTCAGAGTCTTTATTTGTAACAACATTTGAGTCTTCTAATGGCTTCTCAGAAATTGTCTTGCGACTTTCGTTACAATTATCGGATTTAATTTTTTCCATCATTGTGCTGATGTTTGAAGAAGTTTTTCGAACCAATGTTGAAGAGCTTCGACTGAGTGTCTGCTTTGGCTTGTGGGTGGCTTTAAAGTTTCTTGGCTTTGGTACATCGTAAGGACTTTTAACAGCATAAGAATTCATTCGCGAATTTGAACGTTTCGGTTTGACACCCAACTGCATATCGTACATTGACAATTTAGATTCCAAAGGAACTTCACAAGCATACGAGTTTCTTGCACTCAACGATTTTTTATATGATTCAGGAATTGGAAGAAATTTTGTTGAACTTTCCTGATTCATCTCCATGAATTGCTTTATTCCGATACATTTTCTTAGAATTTGCTGTACCATCGTGTCACGTTTATCAAACACCATTCGTTCGAGACAAATCTTCATAGCGTTCAATATGAAATCAACAAGAACAAGCAATTTGTCGGGATTGTTGTTGTAAATGAACATTTCGATATTCTTCAGATAAATCTGCAAAGCTTGCATCATGACTTGAAACAGAAGGTTCACTTTTGTCGCAACTTCTACGGGATTATCGAGCATTACTCGAATATCTTCAGCCTAAATAACAAATAAATGTTTAGATCGAGAGACGAATGATTGTGATAAGAAAGAAAATTGCGTAAAATTCTTTCGTTTTTTGTTTTTATGTACTTACAACGCGTCCGATCTGATAAAGATGATTACGGGCGAAACGATTCGAGAACTCAGTGGAACGTTTTTGTCGTCGTCTTAAGTCGTTTATGTCTTCAATTTCGGGTGGATCTTGAACAATTTCACTCAAGAAGTCAAGATACTGGCACATTCTACTCTGAAAATGTGTAAGTTTGCCCAAAGCACTCAGAATTTCTGTCGAACTTTCTTCAGCATCCAACCTTAACTTCTTCTTATCTTCGTCTTTTGAACACAAATTTCCTTTGCTATCACCATGGGATTTCTCATCAGCTTCATGCTTTAACTTTATAACATCACGAGCCTTTCTGATGATGACGTCACTTGGGAGGCGCTCGCTGCTCTTATCCTTGTTCTTTTCGAATTTATCACTCTCCTGTTGCCTGTCACTCTTGTTGATTTGATTTTGTGACTTGGGAATCCACACGTTGTTATCATTTGTGTAATCATCGTTGCTTGCATGCTTCTTGTTCTTAATCTTCTTTGGTTTGAGTTCAACAACCGGAAGCGTCTGTGAAAATTGAGATAAATTGGCAGATGTGAAGGAAAAAACTTTTAGTAAATTGAGAATTTTTTTTTCTTTCACCTGAGCCATTGCTCTCGCTTCTGCTTCATCAGAACTTTTGCTATGCTCATTGAGGAAATCAAATCTCTTATCGATGAACATGTCGTAAGTTTCGCAAGTGAACTTTTCCTTGTTCTAAGTGAAAATAGAAAGAGAGGAAAATTGAATTATGGAATCGTCATCATCAGATGAAATTCAATTCGCTTCACCTTCTCTATGATCTTCCGCAGTTGCTTGTCTTCTTTATAACTTAAGTCAATTGACGAGTCATCCCCACTGTTTGCTTTTGATTCGTTTGCGTTTTCAATTTCATTGCAAAGCTCCATCAATTCATTATGAAGTGTCTCGTTCTCATTATCAGAATAGTTGGAATTGCTTGCAACTTCTTCAACATTTCTTTGATTTTGCACTTGAATTTTGACATCAGAAGGCTCAACAATGTTCACTTCTTCAACAATGTGAACACTTAACGTTCCCGATGATTGCCGGCTTTCTGCGCTTGACGGTTTCGATTCATCATCTTCATTTTTGAATGTTTCTACGTCTGAAAAATGTCTGACGAGTTCTTTATCTTTACAATTTTCAATAAAGTTGTCTTTATAATTTACCCAAGACCTTTGATGGACCAAGAAACGGAGCTGCGGTGGGTTCGATTCGACGAGAATTCTCATTTTTATTTACCGATTTTAACACAGATTCGATTTCTTTTTTGGTCATGTTCTTGGCACTGAATGCTTGACTTTTACCAACAATTTTTTCATCTGCATCGTCCTCAGTCACCGAACAAAAATCTCCCCAAATTCCTTTTTTATTTAAACGTCTATCGCGTTGCACATTCGCCATGATCCTTTGAAATTCCGATGTTGGAATGTACTGTGAAGATGAAAGTGAATGTTTGGAGAAAAGAAGACAATTTAATAATGTTCGATAAAAAATTCCATCCCAAAAAGAGAAAAGAAAAAGATCAAGAATTCTACCTTGAATTCGAAATTATTTGAAGTCAAACCTGACCCCGAAGTATCTAAAATATCCTCGTAATTTTCCATCTTTCTTGAATACCTCAAAACTCCTCTTTTTTCTTCTTTTTGATAAGAAATATTTTTTTATTTCTTAGCTTCAAATTCTTTCTTCACAATTTAAAAACGCTGACTGGGATTGTTTGAATGATGCAAACGAAGCTAAAGTGAACTGTTTTTGTTTCTCATTTGTTTTCAATTTCCTAGAGTGGCAAAATTCTTAAGTTGAGTCACGGGGAAATTTAACAATCAACAAATCAAGGAAATGAAGTTCAGACGTAACATTCAAAATATTTTCAATTTGTTATTTTTTTCTGTTTCCATAGTAGCGCATTCATTGCACAACTGACAATGAACACATGTGGCACAAGGAACATGCATTCCGGTCAGTTGATTGTGGAATATAAATTCATAGTTTCACCCTTACAAAACTTATTCAACCATGTCATGCCACTTCATATCTATAATAGCAACAAAATAATGCTTAATAATACTCATTTGTATCTTAATCATTAAGGAATGCTTCAGGATTTGAATTACATTGCAGAGTGAAGTGAATGAGAAGCAATTGCATCGCATTTCAAATCTTACTTAATTGCAATTGAACAGAATTTAGCTAATGGTTTTGTTTCCTTGAGTTAACGATAAAGTATAAAATGCCGTCTCGTAGATGGAAAGGAGAATTAAATATCTTAAATGGCTTGAAGGCTTTCGCTCAAGAGCATGAAGACGAGGAAAACAATAAAAATCGACAGTAAAAAAAACGTAAATCTGTAAATGGAAAAATTGTGTAAGAATTGAAATGAAATCCATCTCAGATTCATTTTGTTGTCACATTATCCGTTTCAACCCCAAACGATATAAAATGCTTACCGTGTGTTGGTTGTTAAGCTTGGAAAATTATCGTAACTTCATTTGAAATGCTCATTCAATGTACTTTCACTTAGAATCATTGCAACGTTTATGTTCGCGCATCAATAATTGAAGTCGCTTTAACTTAACAAGAAACAACCTTTTGAGAAGATTTCATGAACTTTTATGCTATCGACAATGTTCAATGATTTATGCAGCCTCTCGTGAAGTAAACAAGGAAAATATTTTAGCGATAACACGGAAAAACTTTTCTCGCCTTTTCTCTGCTTCAAGAAAATTTTAAAGTTTTATCGAATCGTCATGAACACGTTCGATGTTGACACATGAAAAGTTAATCAAGTTGAAGAAGTTTAAAGGAAGACGGGAAATGTTAAAGGAAGTTTCAACACCTGAAACATAAATAAATTAAACTTTCCTCCAAATCATTTTGCAATAAATCTTTTTGGTGGTAGCAAGTGTAGCTATTTACAAAACTAAGCAAAATGTACAACTCGTGCTTTTTATTGAGTGTTGAAAGTTTCTTCGACTTCCCTTGAACTCGTAAATTGGCAGTGTTAGCATTAGGCCTTCCGAATGGATGTCCGGATGCGGATTTTATCCGGATATCCGCGCTGCAAATTGACATCCGCAGATCCGCGGATGTGACGAAAAATCCGGATTTTATGCGTGCCCACTTGTTTTTCGGTTTGGGTGAATTTTTCTATAATTTTTCGACGCTTGTTTNAAAATATTATTAAGTCAATTTCATAATCATCCATTATAAATCACTCGACTTAATCACTTTCTCGTTAGCAGAGATTTTTTTTGTTGTTTGATTAATAATTATTGAATGTTTTACGGCACTCCAAACTATGCACGAGACGCTAATTAGTTTGGTATCACGCTGGGAACTTTGGGACTACTTTAGACAACGTTCGAGTGACTCTAATAATAAATATCACGTCGCGTAAAAATTTTGAATATCAAAACACTTTGATTTAATCACTTTTTTTATCGACATCTTCTCGTCACGAACTTTCGCCTTAAAGATTATCTTGCAACATTAATTTGTTTAATAGAATCAATCAAATTATTGACTCAGATATTCACTGCTATAATCCATTGAATCAACAATGAATATTCATTTCCCAAAGAGCATAATGAACATGCCCAGCAAATCAATTAAATTTCCGCATGAATTGTTGATCCGAATCCGAGTCGAAATCGATATAAATTGTAAATATAGCGACAAAAGGGAGAACAAAAAGCAAAATAAAATAAAATAAACGAATCGTGACACGCTTTGAGAGGTTGCCGTCTGGTGTCTTCGAAATATGAATGAAAACTGAGCCGGCGATTAAATAAAACGAGCAGAAGTTGCACAAAAGAAAATGAATTATGAATGTTGCTGCTGCTGCTGCTGGTGTGTTGACTTGTAGTATTTTATTGTGTATAGGTTCAGCTGTTCTAAAAACTCTTCAATACATCCAACATTGTTCACTCATAACGATCATTAAAATGATGTTTTACAATTTGCATAATTTTAAGGGGATTGAAGCATCTCGAGATTACGTTTCTTGCAAGGGTTCGCAGTTGGAAACAATATAATGCGTCATACTGCGAACATGCAGATATTTACTTAATAATACTTCAACTACAATATTGAATCATCAAAGTTAAGCTCTTTGATTGATTAGATGCTGTGCAAATAAACAATTCAATTGATTACTTTTATTGCCTCTAAAATATTTGCGTCGATTGCATAATCTTCAAATACATTTGTTAATTTACTTAACATTGGCTAGAGAAAAACATTTTCAAATTTCATTCCTTGCAATCGAGAAAATTAATCAAAAATTGTTGTTGAAAGTCACGTGTCAAAAAATTTGTCAGTCAAACCCTTTTGAAAAGTTGTGAAAACATTTGAGAAATGAGAAAGAAACATTTGGCAATAAATTCTTCTTTCCGAACACTTTTTCTTGTTGATTCAATTTCAGCGACAAAAAGGGGAGTCGAATCATTAAGAAAATTAATTCTTCTTCAACATCTCGTGGAGAAAAATGATTGATTGTTGAGTCTTCTCTTGATGAAAGGATTTCTTTGAAATTTGATCTTTTCGTAAGATTCTTCAATGCTAAAGTTGCATGTCTCATGCATCACTTTCCATATTTGTAAATGAACATTTAATGAGCCACTCGATGTTTCGATAGAAATAAAAATATTTCACTATTTACTCAGATGTGATGAAGCATCAATTTCAACCCTCTTGGAAATAATATCGAGACAAGGAATGGAAGAGAAGATGCTGAGATTAACCATTCGAATGTATTTTCCGGGATTAAACATTTCTTGTTTTATTTATGAAGTTTGTTTGTCGACGAAACTCTCATTGTGGTTTTCGCATGACTTGATGCGTAATCGCTTTTATTATTCAGCAATTAGAAAAGCTTTCTGGAATGATTTCACAAGTTATTTCAATGAGATTCAAAATGAAGTGTTAAGATATCGGAAGTAATGCATAGAAATGATTAAAAAATTCTCGAACATTAATACGCAATTCATTTATTTTATCATTCACCAAAAACAATCAACAAAGAAATAAACTTCACTGAATTGCACTTTAAATTATGAATCGAACGCTGCAATTCAATGTGCAATCAAAAAATCTCTTAAGGCAATTTTAATAAAAAAAAAATTATTGACTTTCAACTGCGCAAGCATTCGATTCTTCCTAACCAGCTTCGTTAAATTGTGCAGATGAAAATTATGCAAAAAAAATGATCAGCGAGGAAGTCGACACTTAAATTATTTTTTCACTCTCGTTTGCACTCATAAAAAGCAACAAATAAAATGCAACATCTTTCAACGTATTTTCCGTGCGATGTGAAGTGAAGAAAAAGCAATTAATAAACGTATGTAATTGTTCACTTCACTATGTCTGTTGCTTGAGCTTTAATTTTAGAATTTTATGTTAACTAGTAACAAATCGTAACACACAACTTCCTGTATGATTTAAAGTTAAAGATATGTATTGACAGAATAATTTGTTTATACGTACAGTTATAAAATCGTAGATCTATTATCTAGAATGTTCAATTTACATTGATGTTAATTAAAAATGAGTTTTAAATGAATGGGTATCAATGAACAAGAAGTGACTTCACATTTTTCTCGGAAGTCTTCATACGATTTCTAAATGGATTGCGCTAATTCTACCCCTGAAGAAAGTAAAAGATTAAATATAAATGTTTTATTTCTCACGTGCAAATGCTGATATAAAAAGCAACAGTTAATTAAAGTTACCGCCAAGCTATGAAACATAAAACTGAAAAGTCATAAAGAATTTCTTAGTAAAAAAATGGCAAGATGTTTTCTGTGTTGATAAGACAAATGGAGCTAATTTTTCAGACAGTAAATGCAGAATTTCATTCAACTGTAATAAAGAAATAAAAGCGAGTTAAATTTCCATGAATAATCTCATGGTGGAAGGAACTTTGTTATTATAAATATTCAAATTCAACATTTCGAATATCGATTGACAAAATAATTATTAGTTAACTTAACGATTCTATATTAAGACCTTAAGGTCTTGTTAATGGGACACGGAAACGTAATAATCGAGAATTAAAACAACTCAATAATAAAAATCTGAAAGAAATTATAATATCGAGATTTCTTTTCCTTCTTTGAGAATCCGAAACATGTTTTTTCGTGGCCACACAGTTGAGTTTGTTGCTGAATTTTAATCAAAATATTAATGCGCTGATCTTTAAATTATGAGCTTAACTTTTATTTATACTGATACAAAATAAATATGCATGGCTTTCTTAATGAAGTGGAAGAGCGTTAAATTTCTTAGATTTTGCATGAAACATTAATCCATGTGATCCTACATGATTAATTTAATGTTTGCCTTCGGACTAAATCAACAATTTGACATGACACAGAAAGGTTTAAAATCACAAAGATGAAAGAAAACAAACCGAAGACAGAATCGAATAACGGAGATAAAAAATAGCAAAACAAATAAATTATAAACTTTACCACTACTGTTTTGTTTGCTATTTCTTATTAAAAAAATCGAGAAATTACAAATTGTTCTAAAATTAGTTCTAAACTGATGACTTGAAAAGGAATTGAAAATCATTAAAATGAAGTCGAACGATTTGCATAACTTCCAGGGGTAAATTTTTTTCTGTAAATGGAAATTTAAATTTATTTCAGTTATCTTGATGGCCACGTGTTGTAAACATATCTTTAAAATTAATCTACTTGTTCAAAGATCTTGCGAAATTAATGACGAAATTTATGCTTCAAATGTGAGTAAAAGGAGAGTTAAATCATTAAGAAATTTAATTCTTATTCAGCATCTTGTTTAGAGAAATGATTGATAGTTGATGAAAGGATTTCTTTGAAATTTGATCTTTTCATAAGAATCTTTCATTCTAAACTAAACTGAGATCTTGCAAACTAGTAATTATGAAGAAAAAAGAAAAAATATCGTTTGACGATGTCAAAACTGAGGAACAATGAAATTAACGCCAACATCGACACTTTGAAATAAGTTTTCCAACTTTCAAAGAAAACTTTATTGCTGATTAAAATTAATTTAAATATAAATGTCCAACAATATTGAGTTATATGTTAGTTATATGAAACAAAAAGAACAAATCATCAATGAAGTGTTAATTTATCAGAACGAAAAATGTTCAAGAGTTTTCAAAAATGATAAAACGAAAATTTTGTCAAGCAAAATTTGGCATATCACCAATAACATGGAAAATTTGATAAACTATCTCGAGAATGCTGTTTAGAATTTAGTTTCAAAAAAGTGTTTGTTTCCTTGTTCTCAAATAAGTGACGTATGACTCAACATTGAAATGGATTTTAGTTGCGGCCAAGTTGTCAATAGATGGTTAGAAATTTCTTTTTTTTAAATTTTTCTCTTTTCATCCTTTTCATGCTTTTCAACATTTTCAGATCTTTTATCAAGTCTACGACGACGAGATTTTTTTTTTGAAGACTTAGATCTGATTATTTCTTGGTCACCATATTTAGGAATCTTTCCTACATCCACCATCTCATAATCATCATTCTCATCATTTTGTTTTTTCTCAGTTGACTTCTCATCTGCCTCCTGTTGTTCGTCATTTTCATCATGTTGATCATTTTCATCATTTTGATTATGTTTAGCTGACTTTTCATCTCTTAGTTGTTCATCGTTTTGTTTTTGATCCGCTGGCTTTTCGTCTGCTTTCTGTTGTTCGTCATTTTCATCATTTTGATCATTTTGATTATGTTTAGGTGACTTTTCATCTCTTAGTTGTTCATCGTTTTGTTTTTGATCCGCTGGCTTTTCGTCTGCTTTCTGTTGTTCATCATTTTCATCATTCTGATCATTTTGATCATTTTGATTATGTTTAGTTGACTTTTCATCTCTCAGTTGTTCGTCATTTTGTTTGTGATTAACAGGCTTTTCGTCAGCTTTCTGTTCATCATTTTGTTTCTGAGTAGGTTTCTCATCGGCCTTAAGCATTTCATCATTTAGTTTTTGGTCAGTTGGTTTCTCATCTGCTTTCAGTTGTTCATCATTTTGTCTATTGGGCTTCTCATCTGCCTTTAATATCTCATCATTTAAAGCAATGTTTTGGAAATTGTTCTGTATAAATTTCAAATCAATTAGCATTCAAATTTTAATCTTTTATATTTAAGAACCTGCCTGTAAAGGTTTAGCTGCAACTTTCGATACTGAAATATTTAATAAAGAATTTTGATTAAGCTTTAAGTTGAAAATCAATTTCGAGAATTTTCAATCAGATTCAAATCTGAATTTGCCATGTCGGAATTGAATCTTTGCACTGATCATTCAAAGAAAAAAAGTTTGTTTAAGACTCACTTGTATGAGAAAAAGCTAAGAAAGTGCACACAAGAAAACACAAAACTTTTCCTTTTGACATCTTTATGAGAACTTTCATTGAATATTCACAAAAAAACTTTAACTTGTAATTTGTGAAAACATCGTCTATTTAAATGGAATCGCAGCTTTGAAATTTTCACACATTAATTATTCATGAACTTTATAAATTAGTTCGAAGTTTAAGCATGAAGTGAAAAAATTTGTCAAAATTTTACCTTGCTAAATTTAATTATTGATTTGATACAGAAAAATGTGGAAATGTTTGAGTTTGAAAAATTTTCTAGTTGCAAACTTCAACGAAAAAACCAACATAAATGGAATTTGATATCCCGCAACTCCAATTTCAAACCACAATTTATGATTTATCTAAGAAGCAATTTCGAAGTTTGAAAAGTTTTCTTTAATTCTTGTCTAAGCAAGCTTCAAAGTTGTGAAAGTATTTGGATCAACGACACCCGCTTGCTTTCTTTTAGGCAAACGATTCTATCAATTTGTCTTTTTTTAATAGAAATAAAATTGAGGATTTCTGAATGAGTTAATCAAAACATTTAAAATGTTGAAAGGTTCATTTGAAATTGACTTGTAAGGTGAACAATCTGGGATTGCAATTGTCATGATTTGAAATAATTCTAGACATTTATTTATATGAATCTTGCTCCAATTGAGTTGTTTTTTTCCAGAAACTTATGAAGTTCGATAAGAATTCATTTTGACGACATTGTTTATCAATCATTTGTCAAAAAATTTGTCAGTCAAACCCTTTTGAAAAGTTGTGAAAACATTTGAGAAATGAGAAAGAAACATTTGGCAATAAATTCTTCTTTCCGAACACTTTTTCTTGTTGATTCAATTTCAGCGACAAAAAGGGGAGTCGAATCATTAAGAAAATTAATTCTTCTTCAACATCTCGTGGAGAAAAATGATTGATTGTTGAGTCTTCTCTTGATGAAAGGATTTCTTTGAAATTTGATCTTTTCGTAAGATTCTTCAATGCTAAAGTTGCATGTCTCATGCATCACTTTCCATATTTGTAAATGAACATTTAATGAGCCACTCGATGTGCCGATAGAAATGAAAATATTTCACTATTTACTCAGATGTGATGAAGCATCAATTTCAACCCTCTTGGAAATAATATCGAGACAAGGAATGGAAGAGAAGATGCTGAGATTAACCATTCGAATGTATTTTCCGGGATTAAACATTTCTTGTTTTATTTATGAAGTTTGTTTGTCGACGAAACTCTCATTGTGGTTTTCGCATGACTTGATGCGTAATCGCTTTTATTATTCGGCAATTAGAAAAGCTTTCTTGAATGATTTCACAAGTTATTTCAATGAGATTCAAAATGAAGTGTTGAGATATTTATCAGGAGCTTTAATTGTGCCTTGAATTTTCGTTAAGCTTCGTTTGGTGCTTTATCGAACTTCAATATTTAAAATAATCTCAGAAAATTCCACAATTTCCAGAGGAGTAGAAAAGTCGTTAAACAACATTCCTTAAATCACTTTATGCTCAAATAAATTGTTTTCAAAGCCCTTTCAAAAGAATAAGAAATGAGAAAATCAATTTACAACTGAAAATAAGAAAAATGCAGCGAAGAAAAATTTCGAACCGAAAGTGAACGAAAGTCGCTCGACGGGACATCAACGATATGAAAATTTTTATTCGATTTGATAAATTAGAAAATTATTCATGTGATGGGACTGGGATTGCTTGGTTTTCCGTTCCTTTTGTGTTGCCTTCTCATTCGCACGACCCGAGAAAGTTTTTTATGCGTCTGAGAGAAAAGTCGGGAAGAAATCTTTTCAGTTTTTTCCTCACATTTTTATATTATT